GTTCAGAGGTTAAGAGCACTTACTGCTCTTCTAGAGGTCCTGAGTTCAATTCCCAGTAACCTCATGGTGGCTCACAAACATCCGTAATGAGAACTGGTGCCCTCTTCTGGCCTGCAGTCATATATATGGCATACATAATAAATAATAAATCTAAAAAATAAATAAAGATATCTGGGTGTTTCTTCTGAATTCTACTTTCTTATTATTGTAAATACCAATAATTCTTATCCTAAAAGTTCACTAAGTCTCAGATGAATCTTTTCACTGTTATGGCTGTGTTGCCTCTCTTATTCTTTTTAAAAATACATTAATTAATTAATTTGTTTGTTTATGTTACATCCCATCTGCTGTTCCCACCACTCTTCCCAGTCTCCTCCCCAATCCCTCTGTTCTCACCCTTGAATCCACTCCTCCCTATCTGTTTAGGAAAGGGTAGGTCTCCCATGAGTATCAACAACACATGATGTATAGTCAAGGTAAGACTGAGCACTTCCCCTTGTATTAAGGTGGGGTAAAGTGACCAAGTATGAGGAGTAGGGTCCCCAAAGCCAGTAGAAGATTCAGAGACATTCTCTGTTCCCACTAGGAGTTCTTATTAGATTCTTCAGGACCACTGTGAAAACCCCTGAAGAAAAGAGTAAATTCAGAGTAGAAAAAATTGACAAGACATTCCAGGCACTGACCCCTGAGTCATGACACTGAGCAGCCACAGGGCCATTCTGAATGTGGTATCTCTGTTTAGTTCAGAAAAGGTTGTGTGGACAACATTCTCAGTTTGGCATGATTTCCTAAATGATTTTTTTTTCTGAGTGTTTGTTCTCTTGTCCCACGTAGACCTTCCATCTCTCCTGTGATCTGAGACTTTCCCTGATCTATTCTGAGTACCCAGGGACCACCTAGGGATGGTCAAGGAGAAAAGAACTTACAGTCTCTCATAAATGAGATATGGCTTATGCTAAGACTGAGAACCTGTCTTGTTCATAAACTTTCCCAGTTGTTACTCCCTACATCAGACCAAGAAATTTCTCTATGTCCAGTTCAGGTAGGGGCACAACATTCCGAGGTAGATTGTCCTACATCTCTTTCCTTTCATATATCATGTGGGAAATGCAGGATCAAGGTGTGGGGCAATGTCATGCAGAGTGTTCTGCAGTCCTGGCTCTCAAAATAAGATGTGAAGTGTGTGTGTGTGTGTGTGTGTGTGTGTGTGTGTGTGTGTGTGTGTGTGTGTGTGTGAAGAAGAAGGAAAGAGTATATTATTGCACATCTAACCCACACTAAGTATAGATTCCCAGGACTGACATATCTAACCCTTACTTTTGTCCTCTTTACAAATAATAGTTATTGAGACAAACAGAACAGTTATATTGTGAGTAGATAGAGGTTCCGCTCTTCCATCACTTTTGGAGACTCAAGAATCAGTGGTGGATTGATGAGCACACCAAGGGCAGGCAGAAGACATTCTTAGCTGTCTCTCTTCAAAAGTACAGTCTCCTATGAACCCATACAGTCTCAGTTCCTCAATTTAACCCTGAAGAGAAATGTTGCAGACTCCACAAAGCAATAGGTTTTGACTGAGAATGCTTGATTTTATTTTGCTTAATGTGATCATTGTTATGTTCAGGTTCTTATGACAACTTCTATTTGGTAGTATTGAGCTATGGATGTGGATCTGTTTTGAACAGAAGGAAAATATAGCAGGATTTGTACTTATTCCACAAAGGATACCTCCTCCCATAGATACACTGTGGGTCCTATATACACTGAGAGCAAGGGTCTGAGAATACTGGTAAGTGGAGGGTGATGAGCAAAGGTTGTTACTGGATTGGTTTCTGCCTAGTCTCTTATATCTGTCTGTGGCCTCCCCAAGATGCTCTTTTAGACCATCTCAAACATTTCTGAGTTCTATAAGCAGGGACTGTTATGAGCATTCCTAGAAATATCCATGTTGGCCTCCACCATCATGAGGGTGAATATCCTTCTGGATGACCCTCTGCAGCATTTGGAACTCACTCCTAGCCAATAATTGTAAATGTATAATGTTGATATGCCCTTTATCTCAGAAAGGTCTGAATCCCCTCACCTTAGACCATGAGCTCCATATGGTCACTGGCACCTGACAACAGGAACAGAGATGAGTTGATTTATTCATCGCACCTGCAGGTGCCCCTGATAGTGTAGGTCACAGAAGTCTTGGAGAATACTAGAACCAACCCCATGATCTAGAGGGAGGGGTCCTGAATGCCCTGGTATGGTCCTGTGCCTCACCCTTGCACATGTCATTACAGCTGTGGGACAGACCCACTGCAGAATCAGGTGCTAGAGGATTCTTTGTTCAAGAGAAGCCAAGGCCAGAACTGAAAGAAACTTAATTGTGTGGGCCTCAAACTTCCATTTATAAACAGAGGAGCAGTTTTCTGAAAACAGAAGGATTTGTCCAGTTCTGCATCTTTAGAAGCAACTGTATTAAGGGTATAACTAGCTACTGTCCATCAGGGCCCCACATTACAATAGGGTATTTACATAGCCTCCTTGGGTCTGACTCCATGCAGCTGAGATGTTTGCTCTCAGTTCCTTTAGTGGCAGGATGGGGAGGTGAGTGTCTGGGTTTCGTGTTCTTCATGTCATCCATCTGGCCCATCCTCCAGGCTGAGCCTAAATATCTCTGGATGCTACCTTCTGTAGCACAAACTAATCCCTGGGTTTCCGAATTCTCCATTGGGATCTCTGTTCACTCCCATATGCATAAGCTGAAGTGACAGAGAAATGAGAACTTTTCTGGGCTAACAGCCAGAGGCTCCATGAGTATGCAGCATACTCCCTGCACTGAAGTGCCTGATACTCACCATCTGTTGGCATGGGCCTTGAGGGTGACAGGCTGGATACTCCAATGGATCCTAGGGAAAAAAAAAAAACAAGAGAAGGGTAGGAGGTAAAAATCCAGGGAACTGCCTCTGCTAACTTTTCAATACCTACCATGAAACTTCCGCATGATCTTCATGATGTCTACCCCAAACATAGATTTCAATAAAACGTGGAGTGGACATTACTTGAGAGACCGCTGCTGGCATCCACTTCTCTGTCAGGGAAAGTGCCTTCTGACTAATCTTCCTATTGTCCCCTTACTCCCACCCAAGTCAAGGGATCTCTTAGGGTTTGAATTGTAAGTCATCCTGAGAGTTCAGGGTCACCTCACCTGAGACAGTGAGCTTCACGGGGGCACTGCCATGTGACAAGTCAGCTCCCCCTAACTTGTACAGGACAAATCTGTCATAGTTGATGTCAGAGCAACACTGCAGGGTGAGGGTCTTTCCAGGGTCCAGGATCTGGCCTTGGTGACTCAGCAAGGAGGGCTTCTTGGAGAGGCCTAGAGGGAAGGTGTCAGGCTAGTGATTGAGGAGCTGGTTTTTATCAAACACTGATCCCCTTCCTTCCTGCCCTGCACATGTCACTGCTTCTCCCCAGGAGTGGGGCTCTGGCTCAGCCACAAGGCTCTTCCTCTACCACTGTCTACCCTCAACTACCCAGGGGGACAGGTCCATGGCAAAGGGCTTAGGGTGTCAAAAAAACATTGGTCAGTGGTGGGGCTGACTCACCTGAGATGTGTTCTTCCAGTGGCTCACTGGGCACTGACCACAACTGTGGGGTATGGTTGTAGTAACCATAACATCTGAAAGTCCCTCTGTGGTCTGCTGTTACATGATGTATAGAAAATAAGGCTTGGTACTGTATAACGCTTTGTATATACTGTGAGTTCAGAGATCTGAGGAACTTCTGGTCATCCTTGGTGAGAATGAACTTGTCATATCCAGGATATGAGACACACTTGAGAGTCATGTTTCCTCCTGAGGTCACCACAGGGCTGGGCAGGGCTGTCAGGCTGGGTTTATTATAGTAGTAGATTCCTAGGAGAGAAGAAGGCATCCTGTTCCAGGGACTCACACAGCCATAGTGTTCTCCAGGACTAGGTTGTGGGACAGCAATATTCTTGAGAGCAGAGCCCGGGGCTGAGACCCTGACTGTCCCCTCACCTGTCACCACCAGTTCCAGGGTGTCACTGGGCTCTGACCAGCCAGATGAGCTGTAACAGTAACAGCGATATTGCCCCACATCTTGCTGTGTCATAGAAGGGATGGAGAACTTGGCCTTGTTCTCAGGCTTCTCTGGGGTCTGTGTGCCCCAGGGTTTTTGGCTTCCCTCTTTATGTAGAACACATATTTCTGCACCCAGGGTCCCCTGACACCAGATGGTCACAGCACTCCCAGGAGAGACCATAGAGCTTGGCTCAGCCTTGATGGTGGGTTTGTGGAGGGTCCCTGCAAGGAAGTAGGAGAGAAGGAGTTGGGTATGTTTGGCAGTGGCACAGAGAAAATCTCACTGTGGATGGCACTGTTATTATCTTTTCAATTTATTCTTATGTTATATAATACATCCTGACGACAGCCTCCTTGCCACCCCTGCCCTCGAGATCCAGTGCTCCTTTGTGTCCTTTCAGATTAGAGAAGGCATCCCAATAATATTAACAAAATATTAACAGAACAAGGCATAACAACATGCAACAAGACTAGGCACACACCCTCATATTAAGGTTTACAAGGCAACCCAGTAGGAGGAAAAAGATTCCACATGCAGGCAAAAGTATCAGAGACATCTCCATTCCTATTGTTATGAGTCTAACAAAAACCCCAAACTAGTCAGGCCATGCTAGTGCATGCCTTTGATCCCAGCACTCAGGAGACAGATGCAGAGAGATCTCTGTGAGTTCAAGGGCAGCCTGGTCTACAGAGTGAGGTCCAGGATATACAGGGCTACACAGTGAAACTCTAAAAATAGAGAGAAAATAAAAAAGAACCCAAGGTAAACCACCACAGCATGTGTGCATGCTAGGTCAGACCTAGGGCAGACCCATGCAGGCTCCATGGTTGCTGCTTCAGTCTCAGTGAGCCCTCATGATCCCTGCATAGTTGATTGTGTGGGCCATGTTCTCCTGATGTCCCGAGTGCTCTGGCTCCTGCAACCCTTCCCCCTCTCTTCTGTGGGGTTCCCCGAGCTGTTGTGGATGGTACATGAGCCGATCCAGAGTAACAGAAGAGCCCATAAGGATTCATCTCTGTCCTGGACCTCCTGGGCTTTGCTGTCACTCTCTGCCTTGGACTCTGTATCTTGTGTCCCACTCTCTACCATGCACTGGGTCATGGGCTTATGAGCCCTGGCTTCTCACACACACACCACACACCAAGGCCTCCCTGGCATCTGTATCTTTTCAGCATCATTCTAGGGAAAGGCTGGGGTTCCTCACCTGAGACCAGGAGCTCCAGAGGGTCACTAGGTTCTGACCACACCTGTGGTCTGTTCCTGTTGAAGCTGTAGCATCTGAATGTCCACCTTTGTCTGGAGGTCACAGGGCCCACAGAGAACAGAGCCTGGAACTCTCTAGTAGAGTCGTTATACTGTGAGGCCAGTATCCAGGAGAGCTTCTGTGGTCCTTCCTTCATCAGAACAAACCTGGGATATGCCTGCCTTGAGACACACTGGAGGGTGACATTCCCTCCTTCAGTCACCACAGGGCTGGGCTGGGCTGACAGGCTGGGTTTACTGTGTGCTCCTAGGAGAGAAACAGGAATCAGTTAAATGTATCAGGTCTCATTATCCTCTAGGGCTGTGAGGTGGGGAGGGCAGCCTTAAGAGTACACTCGCTTCTCGACAGTGATTACAACTCCCAACCCGAACCCTCCAGCCATCCCCAGGGGCAGCACACATGTGTTGTTCTCCATCCTCACTGCCAGGCATGTCTGCAGGAATGGTGAGAAGTGAAGGTCAGGACATCTGCAGACACCCACTCACCTGCCAGCACTGAGGTCCCCAGGCCCAGAGTCAGTCCTGGAAGAGAGTTCCCTGT